AAAGAGTGTGGATTGTAATGTCGCGATGTTTCTTAATAGAGAAGCAGATAAGATCACCCCCTCGATTCTTTCTCCTTCTCTCTCTCTCATTCTTTCTCTTTCGCCCGGCAGATTCATACGTGACGCTGAATAGGCGTGTTTTTCCTAGGGTATTATGTTTCTTCCCTGGGCTATAAATCGAAAGATAACGCCGATAACGTCGCCGAATTGAAAGCAAATGTTCTATTGACACGTACTTGCAAGTAGGAAGGGTAATTACGCGAATCGACAATTTGTCGGCTTCATTCGGAACTTGAATGCTTTCACAGATTTATTGTGACTGTATTAAATTGGATGGATATTATATATACATTATTTGATCACAAATCTAATTTTTTTTACTTTTGCTATTCAATAAAATTCCCAAAAGATTTTAGTATAAAAAATTATGTAATAAAAATTAGAAATGTTGGCATAAAAGGCGATTGATATAAATTAATTGAAGTCGAGATAGTAACGTACTGCATAAGATGTATTGCAGTATCTTATAAAAGATACTAATGTTTCGAGATATCGTATGATTAAGCACAATTGCGAGACAAAATTATCCAATTTAGATTAAGATAATATAAAGAAAACGGCTTATATACAGAGAGTGAGCGATATTGGGCTAGTTTCCTTATAAATCATGCGTAAAGAGCTAATAGCAATTTTCATGATTAATCGACGAGGCGAGTAAAGCAGTCGCGCCACTTCAAATAGATACAGCGTGTATAAATAAATAGAAAAATTTACATAATTACGCGGGAAACTCGTCTACCGCGATCCGATAATAGTAACCTCGTGAGTCGCCATAATTTAGAACTGATAATTAGATTGATAATCACTAAGTGTGGTTGCTCGATCTCACAAGATTTACCAGCACTTCTAAACGATTGAAAATATTTTAATGTATCATAAAAAAAACGATGCATCGATTAACGTGATAACCGAAGGAAACACATGAAAGGAACAGCAAGATCCGTCCTACAGTCTAACATTAAAATGCATATTTATATGTTACTCGTTAATTACGGAAATCTCAGCTACTTAAAGCAGCGGCAATTTTCCGTTGAATTTTATAATGCTTGTATACGATATCATTTCGACAACAGTTAGCAGTTTTCAATTAGACAAAATAACAAAATTCTGTTTTAAAAAAAATTTCTTTTTGCAGAATTTAATATTTAAAATTTTTATTTCAAAAATACGAATTTTTATTGTAATTTCTCGACCAGTCGATATGTCGTACTATTAATTGAAAAGCGTGCACTATCAAAATTACAATACTTTTTTTCTCTCTTATTAACAAATTAAATAAGACACCCAACTAATCGCGATCTAACATCATGAGCATATTAGGAGCTGACAAATTAATCGGGCAACGAGAATAGGGTTAATAAAATTCCGTCATGGTGCTTGCCCGCAGCAGGCGCCTTCACCTTTTTCCCGAGAATGCGTAGCACGCTATTATTATTCATAAACCGGTCTATTCTCGCCCTAATCGAAATCAGGACGCGCCATTAAATTCCGGGGGCCGCGCCCTTTAATCGTCGCCTGACAGCGTTACAGGCGCGATTTGTCATCCACGAAATTGAGTCGCATCTGCACGGAACGTTGGCAGAGAGACGCGGGCGTCCGGGATGCTGCGCTTCCGAGATGCGCGCGCGCGCGCGCGCGCACGCGTACAGCCATACAGACATAGTCTCGTTCGTTCATGTGAAAGCGTGCGCACACGTCGAATCCACGTGGAACGTTACCACCAGTCGCACGTATTCGCGGCTGCCGATTCTAATACCATCATACAGTCCTCGAGGGCGATATAATACTCGAGTATATATATGTATATATATATATATATGGGCACGGACCATTAATATATGGCTGCTGGGGCCATTGTTGCGAATTAGGTACCCATTGAACGACGCATTGTCAATGACAACGGGGGTCCGGGACGGAGGATGCAACGTGTGTACCCCCCTCGTACTACCAACCGCGTTTTGATATACCCCGTAAGTGGACGCTCCCTTCTCCCGACACGGACCCCCTTTATGTCAATGCGATACACTTCTCCCGCCGTTACGAGTAAGGTTGGGATTACTGAGAGATTAATAGAGTTGAAAATTCTTAAAGCACATCCGCACGGTTATAAGGAGATATATCGAAATGCTCAATCAATTTTTTGTAAATAAAGATATGATAGACGATTGAATATCTGTATGAGATATATATGTATAGTAGGAAAAATTGTTTTTCAGTGTGCAATATCTATTGTTTTTATCACGCATACACACACACACACACACACAGTTGCATATAAATCTTAAATCTGATGATATTTCTACATCTTACCAGCGTAAGGAGAGGAAGAAGTAATGCTTCTCAAAGTTATGAATCGCACTGACCATCTTCGATACTCAATCACAGTGTGATAAGACTTGAAAACTTCAACAATCAAACGATCAGTATTTTTTAATGCTGCTTCAATAGCCGTTAGTACACTACGAAAAAAGCCTCACGACGCCATTGTGCGAATAATTGGAGAACTAGTTAGTATAACGTCGATAATATCATTCGTGTCTATAAAATCATGTGTCGATAATATCGGTAACAACAAAATAAATCGTATCGGCTCAGATTTAGAGCGACTTGGATCAAACGATTAACTTCGGCATTATTGACGATTAATCCTGACAAAATTACCCCTGCGATATAATTTCCATAATTCTATCCATATTAACAGAACACTGCTGCTAGTATTATTGATTGGTTAACTGCCACTTATCGAAATTTGATCGAAATAGCCTCCAACTAGCCGTACAAAATATTTTATGGTAAAGTTATTTGTATATAAAATTATTGTCTATTTAGTTTCAGAACGTGTGTACATACCTAGCAACAATCGCATTTTCGCCGGACTTTGGCAAAGGACCGGTTGAGAAGACGATTTCTCGATCAATTCTGGGCAGATGCGGGATGCATGTTGGATGCGGATATTGCGATGTCAGCGTACGCGATAGTAATAGTTGGCGATGTGCCCAACGAGGAATTGACACTTTACGGAACACTCGCGATAACTCTTTGCGCGTGAAATACACTTTTATACAGTAATAATCGCGAAATATACACGGAGCGCGACGAGCGTGCAACTTTGTACGCCATGTTATGTTATAACTAATATTGACCGCGATTTGAAATCCTATCGAAGCGATATTGCGATTCTCGAAATATCGAAACGATTGAAGTAACCAACTTCACAATAGTCGTGGATGTAAAATAAATAAATAGAGAAGATGCAATTTAAATAAACAGAACTATTAGCGTAAAAATAAAATTTGAAATGTTTCACAAATATTAGAAATAATTGAAATAGTAGATTACAAAAAAAACATATGGATTTAATTACTTATATAACGACGTGCGTAAATACCTAGACGGGATTGGATAGGCATTTAGCCAGTCATACTTAACCCAACCTAACGCAACCTTCCTGACACGAGGGACGAGAAAGGGGCTTGCATAGACGAGAATACGTCAGGAGCGGATCCGTCTATGGGATTAGGTCAATGAAATTAGACGAGAGAATTGCGTTTCTGTTTGAACCGATAGTATAACTCTCTCGGAAACATGTGGCTGGAGGAGTGCGACAGTTTTGCCGAGCTCTGTCGTGGATACTTGCCGTACTATTTGTTAATAGTCCTGCCGATCTTCATCATAATCTCCCCGGTTAATCCCGTGGCCGCGTCGCATGAGTTCCCCGTGTATCGTATGCACCAGTATGACTTGCACGGAGTTCCACACGGTAAGATGTCAATAATGTCTGTGATGATTTCTCTGGAAATTGCGCGGCTCTCAAAGAAAATTGCAATGATTCTCACAAGGTTGTCGAAGCGCACCAATCTCCCTGGAGGCGAGATCGTTGACTGGATGGAGCACTTCCAGGCATTGCGTTGTTGCGAAGGCTCTGGATATCACACCGTCTGTCTTCCAGTCCATTAAAAGCAAAGCTGGTGCATTGGTGATTGTTTTACCTGAGAAAATGAATGAACTTACGACAGAGGAAAGAGAGGTCAGTAATAGAATTAATATAGCTTTATAAGATAGAATTATAAGATATACACAATAAACTGTGATAAACTGTTTTGATTTTAGCATATTATAAATCTAGAAGCATTTATGATATATGGTTCCGAGACAATGATACCGGTATACTTTGCATTGTGGCATCCAGATCTTCAAATAATCCTGGATGATATTGCTGATGGATTTATTACCGATGAAAAAGCTGGTTCGGCAGCAGAGGCCATGTATAACTCAATTTCTGCTAGTGGTTATCAAGTAGTAGTGGCCACTGGACAGGCACTTCCTAAAACAGATATTAAAGTTGCCACATTGCATGGCAAATTGACTGGAACTGGGGCTGAGGAAAAACTACCTACTATAGCAATAGTAACGCATTATGATAGTGCTGGTGTAGCACCTGTAAGTTTATTATTAAATTCTGTGTTTATTATTAAATTATGATTCTTAATATTCATGAAGATCGATATGTACTCGGACACAATTTATTTTATTGAAATCGTAGGAACTATCATTTGGTGCAGATAGTAATGCTTCCGGTATAGCTATGCTATTAGAAATAGCAAGACTATTTTCTGCTTTATACTCAACTGGTCGATCAAGACCACAATATAATCTTGTGTTTATTGCAACTGGAGCTGGTAAATTAAACTACCAAGGTAGTAAGAAATGGTTGGAAGATCAATTGGATGGGCTTGAGGGATCTATTATACAAGTAATGCAATCTCAATATTATTAATATCAATTAATAATATTTGAATTTACTAAGAAATCTCATTATTTTATCTATAACAAACATGATTTATTTTGGTTATAGGATGCAGCTTATGTAATCTGTCTTGACACAGTTTCGGCGAGCGATAGTTTATTTATGCATGTGTCAAAGCCACCCAAAGAAAATTCGTCTGGTGGTCTATTTTACAAGGAACTTATGATTGTGTCCCAATCTTTGAACACTAGCAATGTTACAATTCATAAGGTTCATAAAAAGATAAATCTTGCAGAAGAAACATTAGCTTGGGAACATGAAAGATACAGCATTCGAAGATTGCCAGCTGCGACTTTATCCACATTAGAAAGACACGAAAATCCAGTCAGAACTACTATACTAGATATTGCTAAAAATGAACAAGTAGATACATTATACAAGCATACCCAAGTTGTATCGGAAGCATTAGCACGTCATATATATAACTTGAGTTCTAGTCAAATCTTTTCTGGCTCATTGGTATGTTTATAGCTGAAATATTTGCATTCTTGACTATTTTATTTTTTATACTCTATATATCTGAAATATATTTGTGTGTGTGTGTGTGTGTGTAAGAGTCTTGGAGTATATTACAAAATTATTTGTTATAACTTTAATTTATATCATGTATATAGTGTTTTATCAATTGATGATTTAAATATTAGTGAGTAATATTTATACCACACTATACATGTATATAAATTAATTTTTATATCAAAATCTTTCTTTATAGGAAGTATCAAAAGAGTCACTGTCTTTATGGTTTAATTACTTTGCTTCTCAACCGAGAGCAGCATCACTATTAACAGATAAAAACAATTTGCTAGTCAGTACATTGAAAGAAGCAATGGCAAGATATTTGGGAGATATTAAAGTTACTCTCCATATTCCTGATAAGCGAGATCCAGAATTTGTATTCTATGATGTTGCAAAAGCAATTCTAAATGTATATAGGTAAAGTATAGTCTTTGTATATATATATATATATATATATATATATATATA